TTTTATTTTGAGAGAGAGTGGGGGAGGGGAAGAGAGAGAATTCCAAGCAGGCTCCATGCTGTCAGCACAGAGCCCGATGTGGGGCTCAGTCTCATGAACCACAAGCCGAAATCAAGAGCCCAACGCTTAACCAACTGAGCCACTCAAGCACACCAACAATGTACATACCTTAATTAAAAAATACTTTATTGACACAGAGACACAAAGTGAGCAAATGCTGTTGGAAAAATGGTACTGGGAGGCATGCTCAACGCAGGGTTGCCACGAACCTTCGACTTGTACACTGACAACACCAAATGGTGGCAAGGATGTAGAGCAACCGAAACTCTCTCATTCATTGGTGAGATCGCAAAATGGTACAGCCACTTTGAAAGACAGCTGGTGGTTTCTTACAGAACTATACTTTTACCATACAATCCACAATTGGGCTCCCTGGTATTTACCCAAAGGAATTAAAAACATACCTACACAAAACCTCCATACAGATGTTTACCGCAGCTTGATTCCTAATTGTCAAAACTTGACAGAAACCCATAGGCAATTGGATTAATAAACTGTGGTACATCCAAAGAATATTATTATTCAGCATTGAAAATAAACGAGCTATCAAACCACACACACACACACACACACACACACACACACACACACAGTGAAATGCCTATTACTAAGCAAAAGAAGCCATTCTGAAAAGGCTACATACACACTGTAGGATTCTAACTACAAGACACTCTGGAAAAGGCAAAACTGTGGCGACACTAAAAAGATGAGTGGTTGCCCAGGACTAGAGGGAAGGGAGAGGACAGGTGGAGTACAGGGGATTTTAGGGTAGTGAAGCTATTCTATATAACAATGGATACGTGTCACTATATATTTCTCTAAATCTATATAGAATGTACAACAGCCAAGAGTGAACCTGAACGTCAACCATCGTCTTGGGGTGATAAGGACGTATTAGTGTCAATGAACCTTCATTGACTGTAACAAGCATACCACTGTGGTGCCGGTTGTGGGGGAAAGCTGTGCACGTGTGGGGTCAAAGGGTACATGCAACTCTGTGTGCTTTCTGTTTAGTTTTGCTGTGAAACTAAAACTGCTCTAAAAAAGGAAGTCTATTTAAAAAAAACAACAACAACAAAAGGCAAAAAATGTGGTATAGATGAGCCGGTCCAAAGGAGAAATCCATGAACTGTTGCACTGAGAATTGTTACTACAATGAGGAAGAGCTAAGGAATCAGGCCTCTTGACAACATCTGACCTTGTTAGAAAACGGGCAATGGAAAGGTTCCATTCACCCTTGCCCTGCCACCTCCTTCCTCTCCCCACATACATCTCGGTCACTTTTGAGTCACTAGCACCTCCTCTGTCCCCAGAGTAGTCAGAGTCCACTTTTACAGCCTGCTTATCTTGAAAGCAAATTCAATTAGAGACTACTTATCCGCAAGGTGGCGGAGGAATACAGAGGAGCCTACAATCTCACGTGTGACCCCACCATTTCGATATCAAAGCCAAAGAGGGACAAGTTCAGCCCTGCTGTTAATTTTCCAGAAAGACTCCCAAGAGCTCAAATCTTGCATCTTTCCCCTATCCAAAAGCCTGAGCAGAATCAAACAGAAAAGATATACAAGGAAATCCCACACCCCACCATATGAGATTTCCCTGGCCAGATCTCTCTCCTTTCGGGATCTTAGTTTCCCCATTCGTACGATGGTTTTAAGCTGTTCTACGGAACCTGTAGATCAACTCACACATTTTTTTGCTTATGTACATTTTGGTTCTTCTCCATTCACATGAAAAATTAAGTAGTGACTCCCTGACCCACTCCTCACTGCTCCCCACCCACAAGCACTAAAAATATAAAATAATCTTTGGGGCACGTCGGTGGCTCAGTTAAGTGCCAGCTTCAGCTCAGGTCATGATCTTATTTTATTATTATTATTATTATTATTATTATTTTTAAATGTTTATTTATTTTTGAGACAGAGAGAGACAGAGTATGAATGGGGGAGGGTCAGCGAGAGGGAGACACAGAATGCGAAACAGGCTCCGGGCTCCGAGCTGTCAGCACAGAGCCCGACACGGGGCTTGAACTCGCGGAGTGTGAGATCATGACCTGAGCCAAAGTCGGATGCTTAACCGACTGAGCCACCCAGGCGCCCCTCGGGTCATGATCTTATGGTTGGTAAGTTTGGGCCTTGCGTCGGGCTCTGTGCTGACAGCTCAAGAGCCTAGAGCCTGCTTCAGATTCTGTGTCTCCTTCTCTCTCTCTCTCTGCTCCTGCCCCTGCTTGCACTCTGTTTCTCTCTCAAAAATAAACATTAAAAAAAATTTTTTTAAAGAATCTTTACACCACCACAGACAATTTACTCTTTATTGATTAAAAATGAAGGAAACATGCAGCAAAATACAAAGTCAAAAAAAGGGAGGGGGAAGGTCAAATATTTTACATCTTCCATAATCTAGCATACGTCATAAGGAGGAACCTCCATTTATTGATACACCATTATTCTATCCTCAGATTATTAAATAGTATCAGCTGGCTCTAGGATTTGGTTCCAAACTTAAGCGAAAAACCCAAACAAATCCATTAGTCATTTGGAATAAGACCATACATTTCACAAACAGCATTGGCACATGTTACCTTGTGCTGAATTAGTCCCTACCCCCAGGGACCAGGGGATCCTGGGGACTCAAAGACAGAGGTGCACCCCGAACCACCACTCCTGGAAAGGAGCAAGGTCTCTCAATGTGTCACGTGCTGTCCCACCTGGGAAGTTTCTGTTCACGTATTTTCTCAGCATCACTGTGTAAGTCAGCAAAGGGAGACCACCATACATCATGCAGAAGAAGAGAGAACACTGTCCTAAGGCTTGGTGTCTGGCTCCTAGTTCCCAGCAGGGCAAAAAATGAACCGAAAAGAAAAAGAAAGCCCCAGCCCACTGCTATTGGCATGCTGTCATTCAAACATGTCCCACTGTCATTCAAAGGTAATGGCTGGCTGGAGAAACTGAACAGGGGAGTGGGATGCCGCTGACCCCCAGCCTGGGCTCCAGACCACCTCCAAAGAAAATGCTAGAAAAGAGTGATGCCACCACCCCTTGGATTTATCAGTAAGTAGATGATGATGGCTTGCTTGAAACCAAAGTATGGACTCTAAGGCAAGCCACTAGTCTTGTGCCAAAGAGGACACTGTCACCTTATTCCCACCTTCCGGCCCTCATTCTTCCCACCCGCCTAAAGAAAGAGAGAGAGAGAGAGAGAGAGAAAGAAAAGCTAAATATTTTTCCAGCAAGCTGATCAATCTTCTCTTCCTTCACTAGGCTCAGCACGCTCCCTCTTCTTACCAATCCTGCTGGGACCCTGGACTTTGGTGTGTGATCCTCTCATTTACTTTCCTCCCAACTTGCCATCCCAAACCCGCCCCCCCTCCTTCTCCCCAACATCCACTCCTTTCCCAGTGCGTCTTTGTACCCAGGGCAGGGGAAGAAAACCCATGACTGAAACTACAAGCTCAGAATGAGAAACAAAAGCTGTGACGACTCAGTTGTGGGGGAGGTTTCCAGAGACTCTCCGAGAGAAGACTGGGCGAAGCGATCTCGTTATTCACAGACCACCAGTGCTGGAAAGGGCCTGAGCGATTCTGTAAGAGGCAACTCTCCCCTTTCCGTGGGGCCACAGCCCATCTTTGTGTGTCATTTTAAGGCCAGATCGAGCGTCCCTTTCGAATACAAAAATTGTTAGGGCTACTTGCAGTTAGACAAAGGCTGACTGTGAAGCAGTAGGAAAGAAAATCGGCCCCACCGACTACTCACATATTGCATTATGAGTGCTCGTTTCGAAACCTAAAGAATAATTTATATTACTTCTATAGAAAATCAGATGAACACTGTCTACTCGTAAATCCTAAAAGTCACGGCACATGTGGTTTCACTTTCCGTCCCGGGTCGGGTTCAGCGCACAGAAGTGTGGACCCCCTCCGAAGGGTCAGTGCAGGAGAGGGGCGGAAGGCAGGCCTCGCTGGCCTGGTGAGGCTCCTTTATTGCTGTAGAGAGCTCAGCCTTTCATTTCCTCATGACGTGGAGGCCAGGCAAATTTTCACGGGAGGACTGAGGAGCAGTTTTTCCTCAACTGAATTTTTTTAAGATTCGAAAATAAATACTTCCACAATGATATGACTTTTGCTTTTTCCTGTTCAAAACCACTGCTGGGAAAGTTCACTCTTATAGGCCATTACTCGGTGTTTTCACTACAATAGGTCCAAACTTCCACTTTGAAGGATCTGATGGCTTGAAGTTCGACTACAGATGTTTTGCACCAGCTGAAGTTAAGGCTAGCAACCCTTTCTGGAGGGAGGGATGAAGAGGGGTGCCTGAGAGCAGCTTCAGCAAAACGCTTAGAAACATGAACAAAACAAAAACACAGTTTAGGCTGCCTCCTCTGAGGCTGTGCTTTTTCCTAACAAAGGTTGCTAGAATTCACAACACATTAAAAAAAAAAAAAAAAAAAAAAATCACTAAATTAAATTCTCTGGGCTCCAGCTAAACAATCGCCTTTTAGTTGCTACTTCAGTGGTAAAGAGATATCCCAAGATGCCCACATCCTGCCAGGTGTGGGGGAACAGGCAGGAGGAGGAAGCCCAACGTAGCTGCTACTTTCCACCCAGCGCCATCATTGGAGTAAGGCAAGATGAGCTGACCGATCTCCCTCCTGGGCCTTGAGGCACGTGGTCCCCTTCTCAGATGGGGGAAGACAGGGGACACATGCGGTAAGTTTACTAACGGAACTCTTTAAAGGGATGCTGGCCACTGGTGATCCGACTTTTCTCTCCCTGTGGGAAAAAGGGGGAATGACGGCAGGAAGAACATAAAGAAAGACCTCTAAAGCTCCTAGCCGGGAGGTTTGTTGCTGGGTTCTTTGGCAGTAGTGGGTTTAGGCCAACAGAAGCAACAGAGATACGCATGTGTGGAATCTCCTTAGGCCGCCTCTTCCAGGGCTGTGGTTTAGCTGATGCTGAGCTGGGCAAATCCTATTAGTTTCCCATCATCAGGAATATCCGAGCCTTCGACACCAGATGCCTAGGAATCAAACAAAATAAGAAGCTGTGGCTACTTGTAAACAAAACTGCACGTAGCAATTAAAACTGACTAACACGGGCACTGTGGGAAGGAAGACAGTGGGGGACAGGTCCCTGGGATACAAACGGGAGGCAGATCAAGTGTCTTTTCCAGAAAAGGTGGGGGCTGGGTAACAAGCTGGAGTCAGACTAGCTAATACTCTCTTGAGAGGAGTCAAGGGTGTGGGGTAGGAGGCTTCCTGGGTGGGAGAGGGGAAGAGAGGACACTCAAAAGGAGACATCAGGGGCGCCTGGGTGGCTCAGGTTAAGCATCCAAACTACTGGCTTCGGCTCATGTTTCATGAGTTTGAGCCCCGCATCAGGATCTGCGCCGACAGCCCAGAGCTTGCTTGGGATCTCTCTCTCCTTCTCTCTCTGCCCCTGCCCCGCTTGAGCTCTCGCTCTCTCAGAAAATAAACAAACATTAAAAAAAAAAAAAAAAAGCCTAGGGCCTCAGGAAGGCTAAATGAGTACAATCCACCATATTTTAATATTCTCATCACTCAGGGAATATAGAAACTGGTTCTGCAGAGGCTGCTGCTGGGTAAAGATAGTTTAAAGAAGAAGGGATGAATACCAGTTTGAAAGTGACAGATCGATTTGACTGAGGTTCTTCCACAATTTTCTGCAAATTCGCTGCCACTGTAATCACACAAACAGAAAGTAATGAGAAGCCAAGTAATCTCTACTTTCCACCATACTTTAAAAACTTAAACGGTAGCTCAGAATCTTCTATGTTCAACCGAGATGGAAGCAGAAAGATAAGTCACTCCCTAAACAAAAGTAATCTTTTAAACTTAACCCTGAGTAGCACAAATAAATCTTGAATCGTGGTCAGATTAACTTTCTTTAGGATACTGTATTAACTGGGACAAGACACACAGGTGAAAGAGGTAGGATTTGCCTACTCATGGGCCAGAAAGCTCTAGACTGGGAGCTGGCCAACTCTGGCCAGCAGCCTGTTTCTAGTCTGGCTGTGGGCTGGGAATGGTTTAAAGAGGACGAAGACAGTGCATGGGCCACAAAGCCTAAACTACTTACTATCTGGTCCTTTACAGAAACACTTGCTGCTTGGCCGTCGACAATGGTCTTTCCTTCAATAACATGTACACATGGGCCGACTGTGCCTTTTCTTACTTCCTGCTTCTTCGAGGAATAAACCTCTAATGACTTTCGCTTACCTCTTAGCTCTAGAAGGGTCGAGTTTCACCCTCCGAAATGGACTAGATATGGCTAAGCTTACTTTAACTCGTGACTTATGTCATCAGTCCCACTAGTATCTCCCAGAGACCTAAAGTGCGCTTCGACTCACTGCCACTGGAAGTCACAAACGTAGACAGGAGACTTTCTGTTTTGTGAGGAACTGTCCCCAATAGCTGTTATTTCAGCAACACCAGGACCGTCCCAAGACCCGTGCGACCTGCTCAATGAGACAGACCTGGTTTTCTAGGTCCTAGATACACAGACAGAGACACAGGGGCACAGGGCAGAGCACAAAGTAGTTACCTATTACTAAATCCCTTCCATCGACCAGGCCAGCAGAAATAAGTTCCTGAGAGACGCCCTCGGCGGTATCTGCGGGGACAAAGCAGAAGGTGCTCTTTGTCATGTCACTACTACCTCTCAGAGGAGGTGCTGGCACTGCCAGGCCCAGGCTAGCTGCTAGATCCACAAAACCAAGGAGGCGGGTGGAGTCCTCTCCCCACACGAAGGTTCCTCCCACCACTGGGGCTGGCTAGAGGGCCGAATCGATAGCAGCCAGACGGCCAATATCAGCTCGATGTAAAGGTAACCTTCTACAGAATGGTGTAATTTAGATGACTACAGGTTCTGCTCAAAAGAGCCCCCGCAATGATGCTGCAGGGGAAACTCCTATTCTGAGGGTCACCGTGGCCCCGAGCCCCATCAGCTCTGAGAGGCGACCGACCGCGAGCGTGCAACACCTCCAGGGCTAATACGACAAAATGCTTTATTTTCAAGTACACCTTGAAAGAGCCAATTGTAATCTCTTCCCTTTGGAGATCACACCCCAAGGTTTTTGCTGAAGTCACTTTCTTTTTTATTCCGGTGGGCTTTTCTTCGTATCTAGTTGTTATTTTAGGTAGCACAATCGGATTAATGGGTATAACAGAAATGAAAAGACAAGGACAGAGCGTCCCTAAGCTGATCTCATCTCCAACTGTGACTCAGTGCTGCTGAACACTGAGCCCCCCAGAGGAACAGGAGGACCTGGGGGGGGGGGAGGGGGCGGGCACACATTTGAGCTGATGACCAGTGTATGTTTGTTTGTTTTTTTTAATTCTCAAGTTAGTTACCATGTCATGTAGTCTTGGCTTCAGGAGTAGAACCCAGTGATTATCAGTGATTTGAATTAGTTCTTTAGTATGTGACTCTTCCTGGTTTTAAACAGTGAAACAGATACACCTCTGCACATCTGTATCTGTTCTCTTTCGTACTTAGTTACTGATGATACCAAGATAGCGGGGAGAACAAGCACGGCACAAAGGACAAATGTGCTGGAGTCAGGCCACCTCCCCAATCTGAACCCTGAGTAACAAAGGCAAGAAAGAAACAAGCCTCATCCCAGGGAGAAGTTCAAGGCCAGAAACTATGCATGTCAGGGCTCAGCTTCAGCCTGGGGAGAGAGGAGCCTGGAAGCCTTGTTTCTTCTTCACTGTCATGGAGAAGGACAACCATGTTCAGTGACAAGAGTAAGAAATCTGCACCCTGACAAGTGTGGATATGAATTCTGGCTGCTCCTCTTTCCAGCGGTGTGAATAGCAACAAGTAACCTCCCCACTCTCTAACTTCATCATCTATGCAATGGGGACCATAATCCTTCCTTAGGGGGCTGCTCTGAGAATTAATGAGATATAATGTTTAGCACAATGCCTGGCCTACTATAGTAGGCCGCAGATTAGAGCTACACTCGTTACTGTTTGTATTATGGTAGGTTTTATAAATGAGGTTAGGAGCAAATAAATTGTATTTGAATTGTACTCATATGCTACCCCAAACCTTTAAACCAAGAACGTTTTCATCATCTTTTAAAAGCAAAATATATCCAAAGGACAAAAACTTCATGATATATTTCATTAAATAATAAATCAGAAGTTATTTTGTTTTCAATGTTTTTGATGTCTCACCTCTCCCAGGAGTAAACTCGAATCGAATATCATTTAGTTCTTTTTTTGAATTCCTATGAAAGAAAACAGAATGTGTAAAGTCAACTGAATTCATGCATACAGATGCTGCCAACATGTACTAGGAAAGCTGTGCCTCAAGAAAGAACGTTCTTTCTATTCCCATAGATCATATGATTTGTTCCAACATGCTCACAGTGTAGGGCTCAGACCAAACAACTGAAGAGTGAGCATCTAACAGTCTTACAACCCTTTTAACTTATATTCTCCACTGCGGAATATAAAAACCTCATGCTAAGAGTAGAAGGGGATTAAGGGCACACTTATTGTGAAGAGCACCGAGTAATGTATGCAATTGCTCAATCACTACAGTATACACCTGAAACTAACATGGCAATGTACGTTAATTATACTGGAAATAAATAAATGGAGGGGAAAATCCCAAGCACGAAGTAAACAAAACCAAACCAAAAAAGCCCTCATGCTTTTGAGGTGAATCTGACATGTGTACTCCCGTGTTTATTCCCACTAAGATGATCATATAAAACTAAGAGGAAAATGTAAGAGCCCCGGAAGGTATAATTAAAATGATAAATGATACAGGACGGAAGGGTTAGTATCTAAAATTATATAAAGAACTTACACAACTTAACACCAAAACCCCCAAATGATCCAATTAAAAAATGAGCAGAAGATGGGGCGCCTTGGTGGCTCCCTCGCTTAAGCGTCCAACTTCGGCCCAGGTCATGATCTTGCCGTTCATGAGTTCGAGCCCCGCGTCGGGCTCTGTGCCGACAGTTCGGAGCCTGGAGCCTGCTTCGGATTCTGTCTCCCTCTCTCTCTGCCCCTCCCTCACTCACACTCTGTTTCTCTCTCTCTCTCAAAAATAAGCAAACATTAAAAAAAAATTTTTTTTTCTAATGCCCAAATTTGTCATCCTTGTGAGAAACAGTTAAGAGAGTGTGTACGTCAGTCGCAGGACCTGTTAATAACGTCCAGGTCTTCACACTGTTGCTACCACATCTGAGGGAAACCGCACCCCTGCAACACACGTGCCGGAGGGCACACACGACCCCATCTACTCTCAGGCACAAACTGCCAGAAAAAAGAGTTACTTGCAAAGAGGAAGAAAAGCATCTTTAGAGTATTGAGGAAACAAACAGAAGCTGTTTACTTGCCTTAATCTGAGTACTAGGCTGACTGGGATCTTGGCTTCTTGTGAGCCTGCTCCTGAAGGCGGAGCCTAAAAATCGTTGAAAGTATAAAGTCAGTGTCTGGTCTACCAAGCATGGAGGTTACTCACTCATGGTCATCAGCAGAGGAAATGTCCATGTGGCGGCAACTTCCTTCATCTCCAGGGGAGGCCAGACCAGTCCCTGGGACATGTTCCCTGCTCTGGGAGGACATGCACTCCAAGGCAACAAAAAGAACTAAGTGCCAGCACGAGTCAAGCACAGTTAGAAAGATAATTCTCAACCCCACGTGAAATTCCATACATAGCCATTTATAGTTTGCATTTTTCAGATCCTTGTTTCCTTCTACAAGGGTGAAAAACACGAAGGCTGGGTTTTTCCCTTTAAAAATTCTGCCAGTGTAGGGGCACTTGGGTGGCACCAGTCAGTTAAGCGTCTGACTCTTGGTTTAGGCTCGGGACGTGATCTCACGGTCACGGGTCCAGGCCCCGCATGGGGCTCTGCAATGACAATATGGAGCCTGCTTGGGATTCTCTCTCTCCCTCCCTGCCCCTCCTCTACTCATGCATGCTCTCTCAAAATAAATAAACAAACTTTAAAAAATCTGCCAGTGTATCACATAGCAATGTACAAGGTAGGATCTAAACTGGCTGTGCCTCAGGAATCCACCTGGCCTGGAGGTTCCAGATCTTCTGATGCCTAAACGAATCCTCTCTGAAAACTGTTAAGTTATTCCTTGCTTACTAGAGAAGACACATTCTATTTAAGTCGTTTATAAAGTAAATCCAATCTTTGCATCAGTTTTCATAAGATAACTGTATCTTTTCCAATATGATGGAAAGAAATGAAAAGAAAGCTTGGGTTCGATGGAAAGGTTACATAAAGTCAGCACCATGACTAACCGGAAGCTCTCACAGCAGTGGTCTCTAAAGGCAGACCATCACGGGGACACAAAAGAAAAAAAAAATCAGAACTTGCATTTTTACCTCTTTCTATTGAAAATGTTAGGGGAAAAAAAAAATGAAGTCTCCAATGTCTAATAAATGAATAGACTCTGGAAAGCTTACTCTAACCATGGGGCATAAGGTCACGTGTTCTGCACGGTATTTGGAATTTCCTGAGGGAAGCGAGGGAGGGATTCACACACAGTGGGGCCCTCACTCCCTTGACTGCTTTCAGTGTATGAGTATTCATGATTTTTGTGTGTGACTGACCACGTGCATTTATGGATTACGTCACTTCACTTTAATGAAATCAACCCTCACAAAGTTGACAAGTATCTTAAAAAAGAGGAAAACAAGAAAATCATGGACGGGAGACAGTATCGATAATGCAAGCATAAGCGAAAGAAAAGGAAACAGAATTGCTGACAATCCTAGTGTGAGACGAACTCCAGCGGCCGCAGAATAATAATGAGCTCATAAAAAGCTGACCGGAAACTACCTCCCAAATTTCTGATGTTTGGAATGTGGTTCATGTTATCCATCATTAACTTATTATGCTGCTTAAAAACCTGTGGGATCCTTGAAAAACTCGCTTATTTGCATAGTTAAAACTGTGAGAACAGAATCTCTAACTGGTTTCAAAATCTCCCACCACAGCAACCTTACTACATAAGGTTGTGTTCCACGTCAATCTCTGCTTTCTTCATCTACCCAGAAGGCAGACCGCTCAAGTGCACTCCTGCTTACCTGGGCTGTTTTTGCCGGCTCTGCGGGGGCTGGGGGACAGACTTGAGTTGGCTGTGCAGGCATGTGCCCGGCTGGCTGAGGTAGATGAGCAGAAATCTGTTCTGGAACTTGGAGTAAAGTACCCACGGGATCAGCTGTCGGAAATAGCTGTAACAAGAACATACACACAGTGCTGCTTCAGTTGAGTGGAAAGGGAGGGAGGTGTATTGACGGGCAGGCAGGGCCTCCCAGGGTGACACTTTCAAAGCAGTGTTTGTGTGGCGTCCTGGCACATCTCTACATCTCTTGAATACATCTACTTCAAATGGAAGTCAAATATTTCTACCAGGCTTTTTTGTTATAACAACTTTTGTGAGATGTAATTCATATCCCACTAAATTCACCCACTGTAAGTATACAATTCAGTGATTTCTAGAAAATTTATACTTGTGCAAACATCACTACGATCTAGTTTTAGAACGTTCCCGTCAACTCAGAAAGTTCTCTTGTGCCCACTGACATTTAATTCCTCCAGCTCCCACACCCAGCCCTAGGCAACCACTGATTACTCTCTGTCCCTATGAGTTTGCCTTTTCTGGATCTTTCATGTAAGTGAAGTGCATGCTCTCTGTTGTGTCTGGCTTATTTCACTTAGCACAGTTTTCTGAGGTTCAGCCATATTACAGCCTATATATCAGTAGTTCATTTTTTTCTTCAGGATAGCATTTCATTACATCATATTTACTTTCAACTACATCTATTCTACCCTCTTTGCCCAATCAAATAGCACCTCTAAGATGCAGATTTAAGTAGTGAAGGGAAATTACAGAAGCTACATTTTTCTATGTCTTGGAACTTTCTATTACTTATAATGAAAAACAATTAACCAATGATTCATTAAAATATCTGAAATGCTTTTCAAGACCGAAAGCCAACATGGACATTATATATCTATTTTGCATGTTTGAAAGATTTCATAAATTTTAGTTAGGTAACTTGGGGGGAAAAGACTGATGTTGAGTATAAAATCAAGGTAAACATATTCAAAATTATAAGTTGATGAAAAAAGTACAATGGCTAAAACTTAACAGTTGAAAGAGAAAATAACTGAAAGGTCAACAAGAGAGGTCTAAGGGCTGACAGTATGTAAACAAAATTGAGAGGCAAAGAAGTAAGGTTTTGTATTCATTTAGCTTCATACAGAGGAATTAAAGTAACTCTGGTGCTGGGGCACCTGGGTGGTTCAGTGGGTTAGGCAACCAACTTTGGCTCAGGTCATGATCTTGCAGTTCATGAGTTTGGGCTCAGATTCTGTGTCTCCTTCTCTCTTGCCCCTCCCCTATTCACACTCTGTCTTTCTCTTTCTCTCTCAAAAAGAAATAAACATCAAAAAAATTAAAAAAAAAAAAAGTAATTCTGTGGTTCTGAATTTTGATAGAAAAAGAGAATGTAAGATTAGTTTGAAATTGATGGGGCACCTGGCGGGCCCAGTCGGCAGAGTTGTGTGGCTCTTGATCTTGGGATTGTGAGTTTGAGCCTCATGCTGGGTACAGAGATTACTTAAAAAAATCTTAAAAAAAAAAAAAAAAAAAAAAAAAAAAAGATTTGAAAATATTAAATAGGAGTATTAGCACTATTTTAAAAGGGCAGTTTCCAAATTGCATGCACATATATGCTAACTTATATTAACTGAAAGGTTATACAAAACAAAGCAATGAGAGGATATAGAGAAATTGGAACTTTGAGCACTGCAGATGACAATGTAAAATAGTGCAGCCACTATGGAAAACAGTAAGGTGATTCCTCAGAAAGTTAAAAAAAAGAATTATCATATGATCCAGCAATTCCCTTCTGGGTAAGCCCCAAAGAATTAAAAGTAAGAACTCGAACAGATATTTGTGTAGCCATGTTCACACTGGAATCATTCACAACAGCCTAAAGGTGAAAACAACCCAACTGTCTGTCCAGTGGAAAGGAAAAACAAATATGATATATACCTACAGTGGAATATTATCCAGCCTTAAAAAGGGAGGGAGGAAGGAAGTTCTGACACGCACTACATGGATGAACCCAGAGGGCATTATGCTAAGTGAAAAAGGCAGTCTCAAAGGACTTATGGTTTATGATCCCATTTACATGAGGTATATATAGAACGGTGGCTGCCAGGGGCTGGGGGGGGGGGGGGGGGGGGGGGGGGGAGGAAAAAATGGGGTGACTGCTAATCTGGAGTTGCACGGTTGGTGATGGTTGCACAATAGTGTGAATGTACTGAAAGCCACTGAACTGCACCCACAAAAATGGTTAAGATGGTAACTTTTATGTTATGTCTATTTCACCACAATTTCAAACATAACAACAAAGTAATGAGCCCTGAAGTATGAGTATGAGCTTGTGAGAGTCCACGTGGGAATGCCACTGAGGCAAAGGGACAAGAAGATCACACGAACAACTCTGGGTAAACTGTAAAATACCCTCTCCACTCAACTTTGGAGAAACTAAGAATTAATTAGTCTAGATTAGGTTAGAGTAAGAAATAATCTTAAATGCTCAGAAAATCATAAGAAGAAAAGTTATTTCTTTTCTTAGCAGAGGCTAAGTTTGGGATCGTCCTCATTCAGGGATGCAGGCTGTGGTGGCAGGGGTAAGGGGACCCAGGGAACAACAGAATGGCTCTTCCTTCTGCTAACATTTCATTGCCCAAAGCAACTGCCATGGCCACGAGTAACTTCAAGGAGTAAGGAGATGCAATTCTACCAGGTAGCACGAGGAGGAACCAGAAATCTTAATGAATCGCAGTGCTGATGTAAGTTCTGACGTAACTGGCCTGTTAATATGCTGAAGTGCAGTATTCACTTTCAGTCTTAAACTATATGATACCATGTAGACATATCCTGCACATAATTGTGTACAAAATTGTATACTATACACACAAATCAAGTGGGGAAAAAAGCAACTTCTAAGAATAGGGGCAAAACCAAACTGATTTAAGGGGTCAAGACGTGTAACTGTTAAATCACTACTGAGCCTGGAATGTAGATGCTGTCCGAAGGAAAAATGCATCCCCCAAAATGATTGTTATCTTCACGTAATGAGAGTAAGGCAGGCCAGCCCAACAGGATTCTGTTTAGTAGGATTGCCTATCATAATGAGGCAACAACTAAAGACAATATAATGTATATGACAAGAGAAGATGATAGAGGCGTAAAACCCAAAAACGATAGGTAGCATACGACAAATTCCTGGACAGATTAATGCAAAAAGACGACTTTCCACTTTAGGCGGCCCAAGCCAAAAAAGTAATTTATAAAGTCAGGCTGGAAAGGAAGGAAGAACTTCCTGGGCCTCCAAGCCAACCTTTTTTTTTTTTTTTTTTTTTTAAATGTTTATTTTTGAGAGACAGAGAGAGACAGAGCACAAGTGGGGGGAGGGACGGAGAGAGAATGAGACACAGAATCAGAAGCAGGCTCCAGGCTCTGCACTGGCAGCACGGAGCCTGATGCGGGGCTCGAACTCACAAACTGTGAGATCGCTTAACTGACTCAGCCCCCAGGTGACCCCAGGCCAACTTTTAAAATGAGTGCAATGGCGCTGACTTACTGTAGAAGTCCATTCAAACTCAGAGTCGATACCTCTGATGAAATTTGGCTGCTACAAATTCTCATTCCCATTTAGGCACATATAAAAAAAAATGTGCTTATCATTAAAAACAAAACAAAAGCACACACACTTTAATGACTCAAAACCCACAACTACTTACCTCAGAATTTGATAATGATTCTTTCACTCGGGGAGACTAAAAGAAATACAAAAAAGGCTTATTAACTCAAAACTTAGGTTACTTGTAGTTCCAAACTGCACTGAATGTTGAAATGCAAGTAAACTCCATTTCATTCTGATCCATTAAGTCACTGGTAACTCTAGTGAAAGTTTTCTGGAAAAAGAAAATATCATGATGCTATTGTATTCTTCATCCAGGTAGCCTTTAATACATCAATGTTCTATGGTATTTTAAGAGTTCCCAACTTGAGGTTTATAACAAACATGGGACTGAGTTCTCAGGCAGCAGGGAGGTCACACTCTTCAAAGTACAATTCTTTCTACTAATCATGAACATGTTATGTACATAATATCCTAGACCAACTGCAAGCCTTCAAGCTCATTATCCAATACACCCTCAAAGCAGAGTAATTTGTATTATGGGCTTCAGCTGGAGAAAACTCTTGAGCCAAAACTGAAAATTTTGGCAAATTTATAATCTGCCACTTAAAAAATCTAAGCTAAATTATTTAGTAAACCATAACAGTTAGTAGTGATTCTGGATACAGGTAATGGAGAATACAAAAAAACAAAAAACAAAACCCTGAACATATCTTTAAACAAATATCAGTTTCTGGTAAATTCTACCAAGCATAAATTTAGACTACTTAAAAGGTCAGCTTAGGCTTTTTAAAGTTTTCATCACTATTTCATTGAAGAGAATCAAGGTTCAGGTGATAGCTAATATATCACAGCAAGTATATGGCCAACCCAACACCCTTTTTAAATTTGTTTGGAAATAATTTCAAACTTACAGAAATTTATTAGAATAAGAACAGTACAAAGAACACAAGTATACCTCTGACCCAGATTCACCCATCATTAACTTTTCTTCCTTATCTCTCTTTTTAAATACACACACACACACACACACACACATACACACATATAACCAATCATATTGCTCTTGTACTATCTGAGAATTAGTTGCATAGACTGTAGCTGTTTACCACTGAACCATTACTGTGTATTTCTTAAGAACAGGGATATTCTCTTCTATAACTTCATACTACTATAGTAGTAAATTTCAGTAAATTTCACAATAATGCTAATTTTCATCAGCTAGTCCAGGCATTTGCCAAGTTGTCCGGTATGCGGTAACTATTTTTCCCCTTGTAACTAACAGGCAAGCTGTGGAGAAGACACTTCAAGACCCTGAAAATATTCTGCTCATCAAAAATTTCCCCTATACTTAGCACCCACTGATGATCCTTGTCTGACCTAATTTTTATGACTGCTATCATGGCTATAAAGTGATGATTTTGCCCTCCAATACTCCTCTACATTTCCCAGTCAGCAGCACCAGCAATTTACTGTAATGAAAAACCATCCCTCTCCCCCACTTAAAATCTACCTATTCATTACTGGCACAGACTCATAGAGTCCTAGTTTTTAAATGGTTTACAAATTATTACTGCATTTAAGGATTTTGATAGTTAAATTCTAATTTGGTCAGTGGGAGCTCATTCAATCTGGGCCTTGTATTATTATGATTTTTTTTTTTTAAATAAAACACTTTTTTTTTTTGACAAGAGAAGATATTCCAGATTCATCTTGTATTTTCCCTGTGTAAGCCCTGGAATCAGCCATTTCTCCAAGGGGCCCTTGTTCTTTTAGTACAGAATGGCATTAAAGACCAAGATCTGGGCATAAATTGTGCTCACTGTTCTTGTTTTCCTGACTCTCTGCATACCTGGTAACCTCTGATTGGATGCCAGATACTGTGACTTTTATCTTGCTGCATGCTGACAATTTTGTATTTCTATAAATCTTCTTGAGCTTTGTTCTGGAGTACAGTCAAATTACTTGGAAACAGTTTCATCCTTTCAGATTTTGCTTTATGAGTTGTTGACTGGATCTGGAGCAGTGCTCAATCTAGGGCTATATGCTCCCCACTACGTAGACAAGCTTTCTGAGAACTCTGCCCAAAGTCTTGTGAATGACAGGTTTCCACACTCTGGCTGGTGGAAATGGGCACTGCTGCTGGCTCTCTGTGAGGGCTGGGTGCTGCTATCCCGTCTCAGGCGGTTTTCTCACATGTATTCCTTGAAGAGTATTCCACTGAACCCTCAAAAGGGAACCTCTGCAGACTTCTGAGCTTCTCTCTGTGTGTAGCTCTCTCCTCCCTGGTACTCTACTGTTTTTATCTGCTTCCGTCTCCCTGGACTCTTAGCCCTATTTCCTCAACTCAGGAAAACACTTTTCAAGCCATAATGAAGGGAACAGCCAATCAAATAAAACTGCTCCATAAATGGAAGAATGGGCAGAGGACATTAAAATGGTTATTATAACTATACTATAGTTATAATACACATTAGCTTCAAAAAGTTAAGTAGAGACATGAAAGTGTAAAAAATGAACAAGCGTGAAATCAAACTTCTAAAATATTACCAAGTCTGTGATATAAAATAGACTGAATGGGATTAGCAGCAATCAGGTATTGCAGAAGAAAAGATGAATGAACTTGAGGGCCCACAACAGAAACTGTGCAAAATAAGACTGAATAAAAAGAGAATTTTTAAAAAGGAAAATCAGTGAACTTGCAGACAATTTTAAGCAGCCTAATATACATGTTATTGGAGCCTCCGAGGTGCATGAAGGGCAGAAAAAAATATTTGAAAATATAATGGCTGAAAATTTCCAAACTTGATAAAAATCTATACACCCACAGATACATGAAAATAAATAAACCCAGGCATATCAAAATCAAATTGCTCAAAAAACCATTCAAAAAGAAAAAAAATATTAAAAGCAGCAAGAGTAAAAAAGACATGTAACTTATAAAAGAACAAGACAAGGGATACCAGATTTCTCAATAGAAACAATGCAAACAAGAATATGGTGAAACAAGAATATGGTGAAACAACATCTTCAAAATACTGAAAGAAAAAGCCTATCATTCTAAAATTCTATACCTAGCAAAAGTATCTTTTCAAAACAAAGATACATTTTTGGACAAAAAAACCTTAAGCAAATCATCACCAACAGATCCACACTACAAAAACTGTTCAGGGAAGTTCTTCAGAACTTCCAAAAAAGGAAATGATATAAAGATGGAAATTTGGATCTCCGTAAGAGTCTATTTTGAATATGTGCTGAATTTTGTCAAAGCTTTTTTGGAACATATCAAAATAAGAATATGACTTGACCTCTCTTTAGGCCTATTAATATTACACGATTTCCTAATACTGAACCATCCTTGCACCCTACTCCATGTGATCATGGCATTTACTTTCAACATCGTTCAGTTTAGTTTTAAAAGACCCTCCTTTCACAAAAGAATTCACAGCATCAAAAATGGCTAACGTGAAAACTACAAAAGTGTATAATTTTCTATGCTGTTTACATATCAGTGTATTGTTACAAAATACTATAAAATCCTATATGTATTTCAGAACTACAAAATTTTAAATAAATTTCTCTTACAGTTAGCTAGGGGGTAACAGTCAGACATTGAAACACTGTAATTTTTCTTCCCAAATATTGTGTGTTGGTCAGAGAAAACACTGTATCATCTCTTTCATAGGAAGCTAGAACTACAAGATTCATGTACCTCTACCTTCCTCTGATCACTTTAATAGAACATTACAAAAGAATCCTGATTTAAGGAGGAATCATATGAAAAAGTAAGGAGAAAGTCTCTTTTCACAGTCTCACATTTTAATAAACTCACAATTGTATGTAATCAAATGTTTATATCTGTTATCTCCTGAAGAGCTTTCCAAGGTTAGAATGTAATAAATTTTTACCAATTTTCCTTGGCAAAGTCTTTACAAACTTAGCTCTGCAAAAAGACTAGACTCAAAGACTTCAGCTAACAAGATCAACAAGTCTTCAATGTTGACCAGCAAGTCATAAGTGCTATGACGGAGCAGGTCTTATAAGCAGGCAGACATGTACCACCTACCCACCATTCATACCACAAAAAGGTTCTAGGCAGTAAAAGCCACGATGAACCTCAAACATTAGTATTTCTCATGTACATTTCTATTCTTAGGAATGAGTCCTAACAATCAACTTGAGGCATTAACTTTAGGCAAGAGTGATGGAATAAAACCAAAACAAGACCTCTGTCTACAAACACACACACACACACACACACACACACACACACACACACACACATGCATGCACCCATGTACATACACACCAAAACATACACCCTCCAGGATATACCAACTGAAGAAAGGTATATTGTTCTTCTTCAGGCAGAAGGTTAGCAGACTTCAGGGAAAAAGTTTTGATTGTTAGGCTTTCAAGTTCAATAATCTCTTCTTCTGCAATGTCTCATCAGCCATTAATCCTATCAAGTGTATTCTCATCTCAGACACAGTAGTCCCCTTCTCTAGATTTTGGTCATTTCATATGCCCTAAATATCATATCCAAACAGATGTGTCAGTCCATTTTTTCATGTAGAATTAAATGGGTTCCTATTGTTAATAACTTGCTCAAGGAAATTCTATCGCTAACACTTGTATTTTTCACACTTCAGCTGTCAAACTGAACAGAACCAAAGAATATAGCGTATCTCAGAGGCTTCAGACAAAAGACAGAGCTCTAGCTAAAGCACACAGTTTAACAAAACTTACCCTGAGTTGTGAAATTGCTGCTTTCCCTTCCTCACTTTCTTCATCAAATTCATCATCACTCCACTCCCAGCCGCCATCTTCTGTCTTATGAAGGCGGCCACTAGAACCTGGTACTCTCCGAACCTGCACATTAGGAAGAGAGATGTGGATTATGGTAGTGCTTGGTATTTACTATGTATACTATACATATCTTCTACTCCTCACTTGCTCTTTGTGCTCCACTATTGGTCTTTACTCCCACCACTGACTTTCCCTACGCTTCTATACTCTTGAGCCCAAACACCATCCAAATCCTTCTTATGTGAAGTCATAGACCAAATCTTATTAATGGTTTCATGTTCCGAGAAATTGAAAAGTTTTTTCAGCCCCCCAAATAAATAAATCCAAATAAAGAAGATTCTGCTTTTTTCATTTTAAAAATCACAATTATACCTACAGCTTCAAGAGTACTATAGCTGCACAAGCTTTGTTAAGAAAAACAGCAATTACCTAACTTTTATCCTCTTACTCACAGGGAGCCACTTTTAACTCATTTTGGCTTATTCTTTTTAAATTAACATTCATCTCTCTAAGACTGTGTTCTTATTATTACCCCTTGAATTTTTGGTTTTAGGAATTATCTACTGGACTTCAAACTATAAAAGATAAGAATTTAATCCTATTATCAACCCCCCTCTTTTCTCAAGATACATTGTAATTTTGGTTAAATCAAAATTCAGTGTTTCCATGACATGATTGTATAAATGATACAGTTAAGTCTTATTGTGTATTACAATTATTTTTCTCTACTGTATAACTTTTTTGTTTCCCCTATAGTTAATACTTGCTTATTTTTATGTACTTGTCATATTTATCCCCAAATCTCTGTATAAATCTCCTCTCACCATATTCATATACATTATTAGGTATTCATCACCTTCCTGAGGAAGACCCTCACCAGAGCCTCCCACCTAGACTGGTTTCACACCAGCTCTGGACTTCAGATCTCACTCTGTCATCAGCTCTGTTTCCTGGACCACACGACTTCCTTGTTCTCAGTTTAAGCACTTCCTCCATTATTAGCATAGCACATTAACTGAAGCCATGCACTTCTCAACTTTTTGAGTCCATCCCTACCCTTCACTTATAGTTTGCCTGGTAAAAAAGTCTGGGTTCGCAGAAAAACTTTCTTTCATAATGTTGCACACAACTGCTTCGTTGTGACCTGGCTTCCAGAGGAGCCGTCCGTGATCTTTCCCTTTTCTCTGGAAGCTACGGGATCTTTTTTTTTTGCCTCCAGTATTCTGAGGTAGCATGGCAATGTGTCTTAGTGCTGGTCTATTTCCATTCTTTGCACTAGGGCTCTTTCAATCTGGAAATTCAGGACTATCTGTTTTGGAAATTTTTCTTGAATTATTTCTTCAGTGATTTCCCTTGTTTTTCTCGGTTCTACTTTTCTAGAACTCTTTACTCAAAGACTGAACCTTCTCAAATGATCCTCTAATGTTGTTGTCTTTTTCTCCTGTAATCTATCTCTTGGCCATCTGGGGTCTATTTTCTGGGAAATCTCCTCAGCTGTACCATACAACCTGTGTAGTGAATATTTTCATTTCTTCTCTGACGTTTTCAATTTCCAAGAGCTTTTTGTTCATGGAGGTGTCACTGTCTATATGCTCCTCTTCTAAAGTAACAGCTTTAGGGGCGTCTGGGTGGTTCAGTTGGTTAGGCATCTGACTTCGGCTCAAGTCATGATCTCATGGTTGTGAGTTCGAGCCCCACGTCGGGCTGCGTGCTGACAAGTCAGACCCGGAGCCTGCTTTGGATTCTGTGTTTCCTTCTCTCTCTCTCCCTGTACCCCACTCGTGCTCTGTCTCTTTCTCTCTCAAAAATAAACATGTAAAAAACATTTAAAGTAACAGCTTTATTGAGATGTAATTCATATAGCATATAATAATACCATTTAAGGCATACAATTCCATTTTTTTTTAGTATATTCAGAGTTGTGAAACCATCTCTACAATTAAATCCAAACCACTTTCCTCACTTCCCCACACCGCAAAAAACACCACATAACCATCAGCAGTCACTGCCCATTTCCGTACAATCCTCCCAGTCCTGGGCAACCTTGCATCCACTTTGTCTCCGTACGTTTTCCTATTCCGGACATTTCACATAAATAGAATCAGATAATATGTGGTCTTTTATAACCAGCTTATGATGAGCACAAGGTTTTAAAGGTTTTACTCACATTAGGACATGTATCAGCACTTCATTTCTTTTTACTGATGAATAAATATTTCATCATATGGACACATGACATTTTATATATCCATTCACCAAGAGATGAAGAATCGGGTTGTTTCCACTTTTGGGTTATTATGAATAATGCTGCTGGGAACATTCCTGTACGCATCTTTGTGTGTACATGTTTTCCATTCTCCCAGGTATGCCTAGGAGTGGAACTCCTCATATGCTCATATGGCAGCTTTGTTGAGTCTTTTGAGAAACTGCCAGACTACTTTCTAACGTGGCTGCACCACCTCACATTTTCATCAGTAGCGCGAGGGTTCCAATTTCCCTACATCTTTATCAACGTTTGCTATTGTCTGTCTTTTTTATTATAATCAACCTAGTGGGTACGTCACTGTTTTTGTGTAGTGTGAGGAAAGGGCTCAACTCCACACTTCACTCTGGTGGCTGCAAACAGTGATTTAACAGAGTCCAGAATTAATTCATCAATTGTGTAACATCCCTTTTCATTCTAGTAGACAGCTCACATGGGCATACTGTGCACTAATGATATTTGATGAGTAAAAATGTACCAAAGGATGCTAAAGAATGGAAAAAATGAGTACTATACTATTAACAACGAATTACTTACCATATACTTTCAAAACGCAGAAGTAAATTTACTCTAACCAATTTCCTAGAAAACGAGTTAAATCCCCATTTACCTTTTTAGCTCTCTCAGAAATAGTTGGTGCTCTCTGCAGTATTTTTTCTTGAAGAAATTCTTTATTCTGCAGAGGAAAAATACGTTTTCTTCTTAAAAGAAGCTTTTATTGAACCACAGAAATTGACCCCGAACATTCAAGCACAATTAAAATACCATATAGTAACTTTTATAAAGAAGTCTGAGGAACGCTTCCATTCTTTTATTCTGAAATTAAAGCTCCTTTAGTACATTACTACCATGGTTTCACAAACTGAGACAAAGCCTTAGTGTGCTGTATGAATATTATCAATGAAAAGTCTGCTTTACCCTAGGTCCTTTAGGATCATGGTCCCACACTTCCAACTACAGTAACATCGCACTTACCCGTTAGCTTTGGGAAATTAGAGTTTTACCAAATTCAGTAGTAAAACCTTTGAACTGAGAGTTCAGTATTTTTCACAGATTGTATTTAATAATGGCAATATTCACTGTTCTTGTTCTAAGTTTAACCTGATGTTTAAATTAATTTATATGAAAAACACATTTACCAATTCTAAAGCATGTGTCTGAATTACCAAAGGTTGTACAGATAATGCCCCCAGCAATGATTTGATCTACTTTTCCAAACATCACTTTTGGATCACTTTTCCAAACATTATCATCTAAAGATAAAACAACTTCTGAGCAGTGAATCTAATTTAGGTAACTGAGGTAGGTCACATGAACACGTAAAATCAAAAGTTAGAATTTCTTACCTTTGCTTTTTGGAAAAATTTGTGCCTTAACAGTTCTGCTGCTGTTGGTCTAAAACCAGAAAAGAACGTTTTAATAGTTAATTCAAGTGTAACTGTGGGTTTCCATCTTCAAAAATGAGAAAATGATTTCTTGAGCAGCAAGATAAAATCTCAGTGTTCTCCACTTTCCTTAACGGGCTAAAAAGCAAAAAGCAGGATAAACTCGGTACAAGACATTGAGTAGAGAAGAAAACCCAAATAGAAATGTTCTGATAATAATTATTGTAGGTTCTTTGCAAAATTCATTAGTGAAATGTTTCTTTTGGAATCATAATTTCTTAGTGGCTTCCAATATACTTGCTATTATTTTCTCAAGAATATTATTTCCCAATAATATAGACAAATATCTACTTTAACAAGTCGTAAAAATAAATTTAATCTCACATAGAGGAAATGGACCAAATCAAGCTGCTTCTTGCCATGTGGCTGCTTGCCAGCCTTCAACTTATGTAAATACATAGTCTTAAAAATAGATCTGATGGGGCCTGGGTGGCTCAGTTGGTTAAGCATCTTGATTTCAGCTCAGTTTGTGATCTCATGATTGTGAGACTGAGCCCTGCATCAGCCTCAGCACTGGACACGGAGCCTACTTAAGATTCTCTCTCCCTCTCTCTCTGCCCCTCCCCTGCTTGCACTCTATCTCAACACACACACACACACGCACGCACGCAAATAGATTTCACAATTTCCTTTAAAAAATTGAAGATTCTAAAAGTAATGTATATATTCCCCAAATTGACTCTAAATTCAGTTTTTAACTGTACAGATAAAGGCATCATCACTGTCAGTTGTATAAACTTTTAAATAGTATGATTGAGAATAAAGAATAAACAATACTACACTTAAGAGACTGGACCTGATTACACCACATATCCCACTATGTAACTCTGAGCAAATCTCTTCTCTAAGGTTCTGTATTACCTACCTGGTCAAGCCCCTGAAGGCAGTGGTTCTTAAATACGACTGTGTACTATTCTATCTGGGAGTTCCAAAAAAAAATCCCAATGCCCAGGCTGTACCCCGTATCAATTAAAGCAGAATCAGTGGGGGGGGGGGGGGGGGGGGGGGGGGGGGGGGGGCATCAGTAGTTTTTAAAATTTCCCAGGTGGTTTTAATGTGCATTCACACTTGAGAACCAGGGCTTCAAAGAAGATTGAGAAAACAGATTTGAATGTGCTATGCAAACTGAAAGTAGACTTTACCCTTCCTATGTTCTTATTAATTATTGTACCAAAAAAAATGTTTTTTAATGTTTATTTTTGAGAGGGAGAGACACAGAGTGTGAGCGGGAGAGGATCAGAGAGAGAGAGGGAGACACAGAATGCAAAGCAGGCCCTAGGCTCTGACCTATC